ACCCAGCAAGGCAGGCAGTATTATTGCTCCCAGTTTTCAAAAGGGGAAAGCAAGGCACAGAAAGAAGAAGAGTTGGGTTTAGAGCCCCAGGTGTGAAGGGACCTGGGCAGGAAAGCAGGGACAGAATCCAGGGCGGGGAAGCCTGGGACCCAGCGCAGGGGCTGTGCCTCTTGTGCAGCCCACACACCTACGTCTACCAGCAGAAGCGTCTCCTGACAGTTCTCTCCAGCATCGCACTTCCTGTATCCACCTGCGGTCCATTCGACGGGTGTCCGAGCCGAGTTTGGCCACATCCTCACCATGACTCCCTGTTGACAGGTCAGATTAGCTGGAGAGAAGCAATCACCAGGGTCTGGAAAAGCCGGGGAAGCAGCGGTGTCTGTCCCTCCAGGTCCCAGGCTTGGAGGTGATCACGTTCTTGAGTCGCACTCTAGATGACCTGGCCGTAGAGTCCTTCAATGTCAGATTTAGATGGGATCTTGGAAGTCTCAGCCCTGCCTCCTTTCTTTGTCTTGTTTTTGCTCAAACATCTGCAGGGACCTCTCCCAATCTCCTGGAGGAAGGCAGCTCCTCCATTGGGAGTGAGAGAGATGGAGGGCTCCTTCTCAGCCTGAGCCAATTTCCACTGTCCTCGCTGGGCCTCAAGGTCCTCATCCGGGTAATGAGGAGGGTAGCGTGACACCATGTATTTCTTTTCCCTGAGGAACCACATGTTCTAAACAAAAAGATGCAAAGGCCTGCCGTGCACTGAGCACTTACTATGAGCCTGGGTGTCCTGATTGCTCTCTGGATTAGCCCCTTGACACCAGCTGAGGAGCTTACGTGTTTTGATCACTTTTATTTCCCCACAGCAACCCCCAAAGGAGGTGGTGTTATCATCACCACCCCATTTCAAGACAGGAAACAGAGGCAGAGGAGTTGTTAAGTAGCTTGCTCGATGTCCCACCACCAGTCAGGGGCAGAACTGGGCTCAGAACTCAGGTGTTCTGGCCCCTTGGGGTGAGTGATGGGGAAGAGAGAGATCAATGACCGTCCTTGCCTACCTCAGCCCCTGTGGCCCTCAGGAGTCTGGTGTGAAAACCACGAGCCCAGATCTTCTCTCAAGGCCATCACATGGTCAGCCGAGATGCATCCCCTGAGGCAGAAACTTGTGTGCTGATGACGCAGCATCCATAATCATAGGTAACATTCAGGACAGCCCTACGAAGGGGGACCGCTCATTTCCCCACATCACTGATGACAGACTCACGGCTCCTGCTGCCCTCCTCCCAGCCTTGCTCTGCTCTCCCCATCCCCACCTTCCCCACCTTGCTCAATGGCAGCTCCTTCAACACTTTTCAGGTCATTCCTGACCATCCCCTCTCTCTGACACCCTGTGTTGTGCCCATCAGGAAATCCTGTTGTCTTAAGCTGCAAGATGCCCCCAGAACCTGACCAGGTCTCGCCACCTCTACTGCTTCCATGACGCCCCTCCTCTCACCTGCTTCCTCCTGGGTCTCCATGGGGGTCCCCTCCTCCACTCCTACCTCCCCCTCACTCCATTCTCCACCCAACAGCCAGAAGGATCCCCATAAAGGTAAGTTGATTCATGTCACTTCTCTTCTCAGAAGCCTCCAATAGGTCCCCATCCCACTAGAATCGAATTCTAAGTCCTTAAATTGGCCCCAAGGGCTCTAGGTGATTTGGCCTCCCCCTCCCTCTCTGTCTCTCTGTCCTGCTCTGTTCTCCGTTGATCACATTGTCGGAGCCACGTTGGCCTCTAGGCTCCTCCTTGAACACACAGCAGGCGTATGGCCATCCCAAGGCCTTTGCATACACTCTCTTGCTCCTGACTCTCTGGAATTGTCTCCTCCTTCCTGAATTGCTTGAAAAAAGCTCAAAGAGGTGTTGACCCTCAATAGCTGGTTCTGTGGCAGAGCCCAGACAGGGAGCCAACATCTCTGATTCAGACATCAAGCTCTTTAACTGCTGTGCTCTCCTGACTGGGCCACTCCACCCTTCACCCTGGGACCACCGCCCAATAGCTTAGGGGAGGTGAAGGCCCTTCGTGTTCCAAGCCTTTTGTTCTTCCTCAGCTTGGGGTCCTGCTGTGGCCCACCTTGGGCAGCCTGTGCTCTTGGCCCTGCCCTCTGCCACCCCCATGCCTTCTCAGGGGCTGCTCTGGCTCCAGGAATGCCCTTCTCTCCTCCATATATTCCCTGACCTCTTGTGGTACCCAGCTTCTGATGCCTGGTCTTGCCGATGGTCAGGAAATACTTGCTAAACTGCTGGACTTGACAAATAAAAATGGCAAGCAATAGGATATACTGGAGAATATGAGGAAGCCATTTGATATAAACTTAATTCGGCCTGACCTTGTCTTTCCAAAAGGGCCTGACCGAGGCCATTGAGCATGCATTGTATATCTGCTTTAGAGATTCCCTATGGCAAGAGCAAAGGCCCTTGACGTAAAGGTCCAACTTCCCTCCCCCTCCCAAGGTTGGCGTCTCCTTAAGGATTAAGCATCTTTCCTTAGGCTAGAAACTGATTGCTGTGCTCACCTGTGACCACCCAGCTCCAGGGAATAGACTTGCCTCCTGCTACGCCCTCCAAGATAGCAGACCCACTACCTGCTGTGTCCATCAAGCGGTGTGCCGACAGGGCAATCTTGTGACTATTGTGGGAGGGACATTTCAATCATATGTAAAGCACCCTCTTTGGGGGTATATAACCATTCTGTACACCTCATTTCTTTGGTGCCCTTTCTTCCAGCGGGAAGAAAGGCCCCGGGCCATGGTCCTCAGATTTCAGCTCAGAATAAACTCACCCAAATTTTCATTTACAGATTGGTTATGGATTATTTTTGTTGACAAACTGAACAGAACCAGGGAAGCCAAACACATCCTCCAAGATCTGGCTCCAATGTCGAAAGCTAACCAAACATGGATTGTGATAGGAACATTCACTTGTGGCATAAAAGCTATGTTTCATGTGGCATGTGTGTGGTGTGTGTAGTGTATGTGTGTGGTATGTATGCAGAGGTGTAGTATTTGTGTGGGGTGTATGGGGTTTGTGATATGCATATGGCATGTTTGTATAGAGTGTGTAGTGTGTGTGTATGGTACGTGATGTGTGGTGGGTGTGTGTGTAGTGATACTCTGTGTGTGTGATGTATGTGGTATGTGTTTGTTCTGAGGGAGTGGCATGGTGTGTGTTCTGTGTGCGTTTTCTTTGTGTGTGACGTGTGGTGTATTGCATGTGAGGTGGGTGGTCTGTATAGTGTATAAGGTTTGTGGTGTGTGTGGTACATGTGAGGTGTAAGGAGATGTGTGTGTGGTATGGGATGTGTGGTGTATATGTGGCATGGTGTGTGTGTGTTTTGTGTGTTGTGTGTGTGTGTGTGTGTAGCGTGCGTTCTGTCTGAACTGTTTCTGAAACACCTTCTGGATTACGAATGTCAGCTGGTCCCAGCGATGAGGGCCGGAAAACTAAACCAGCATTAATCAGAAGGAGAGACTCAGACTCTGCCCCTCCCTGCTCTGCCCCCTTCCGTGGCTCCCCTGCCCTCAGGAGAAAGGCCAACTCCTCAGCCTGGCCTTGTGGGGACATCACGAGGCCCCACCCACCTCTCTGGTCCCCCACCAATATCCATTCCCAAGATACTCCAGGTCGTTTCCTGGCTCCCTGGCCTTGCCCGAGCTCTTCCTTCTGCTTGGAATGGCTCTCCCTTCATCGCCCACACCCACCTCGTCTACCTGGAAAACTTGTAATCACCCGAGACCCGGCTGTACCCCATCCTCTTGATGAGCCATCTCAGGCAGAGCCAAGGACGCCTTCCTGAAAGCAGCAGGCTCAGCCCACCTCCAGACCTTTGCACATGCTCTTCCCTCTGCCTGCTCCTGACCTTTTCCTCTTCTACAAATAAACTACAGCTCATCTTTAGGACACAGCTCACAGACCACCTCCTCTGTGAAGGCCTCCTTGATACCCACCCCCAGGAGATAAGTATTTTCTCTCGTCTGAGCTCCCCAGATCCCGCATCCCTGTGACCATCTCCTGTGACCACCTGCTCTGTGATGTCTCCCCTCTTAGTCCTGGAGGCCCGTTGGGCAGGAACAGGGTCTGAGTCCTCTGGGGTCTCCACTGGAGGCCTTGGAATCCTGCATGAACTCACTTGCAAATAAATCCCGGGCACCCATCCTGAGCTAGCTCTTGTGCTGTCCACATCTGGAAACCTCGGGTCAGTGACATCCAGGCCCTGTCCTCAGGCTCCCAGTCCAGCCAGAGGCATCCAAGCACAAAGAGGAAAGACTGCTGAACTCACTCAGTGACTTCTCTGTGTAGTGGGGCACTTGGGAAGATCAGTGAGCTCCACGGGTGTGAGCTCATTGCCTCCCTTCCTTTGCCTTAAAATGTATGATCCCATAGGCAACAGTACTTCATAGCATATCACAGCCAAAGAAAAGACATTTTCAAAGTTCCTGAATGGCAGAGTTGACAGAAGCATTGAGTATCAGGAGGCCAAATCAGAGACCACAGCTTGTGTGTACCCCTGTGAGGACAAAGCTCAGTGCCCTCCATGCTGGAGCGTGTCCTTTGTAGCCCTGCCATAGCATGATGCCATAACAGATTAGTGTTGGTCTTTACCTCTGTTGCTTTGGGCACTGAGAACAGTCAACAGCCAGGTGGGCCTTGGGGAGAGTTGCAGACCTATTCCAAATCTGATCTGTGCTTTCTCTCCTCTGTAAACAGATCACAGGGAATTCCCATGAGCCCAGAGTTTGGGTGGAGAAAGAGGCAGGAAGAACAGCTGCCGTGGGCGTCGGAGCCACCTACTGGGGCTTTCACCTGTGCCCTGCATGCCTGCTTGAGCCTGATCCCACACACAGCTTTTTAGTAGACGACAGATGCTGCTGTGCATGCCCACCGTTGTTGTTTGGAAGCTTGACTACACCCAGTAGGTGATGTGCAGTTTAGGTCACAATGCCCTTTGTGTTTGCAGCCAGGTGTCTTTAGCTTGCAGTGAGGGCCCTCCTCGGGGCTGCATATGGCAGACGTCTCACTGTAGCTTCACATGGCTGAAAGAGAGCTAGCTACCTCTGGCTTCTACCTGTAAGGATGCTGGGATGGCTAATTTTACGTTCAACTTTATGCTAAGGGATGCCCAGACAGCTGGTAAGACATTACTTCTGGGTGTTTCTGGGAGGGCGTTTCCGGAAGAGAATAGCAGTTGACTCAGTGGACTAAGTAAAGACGGCCCTCACCCGTGGGAATGGGCTGCTTCCAATCCATAGAGGGCCTGAACAGAGCAAAAAGGTGGAGGAAGGAGGAATTTGCTCTCTGCTTGGGCTGGGACTTCCATCTTCTCCTGCCCTTGGACACCGACCCTCTTGTTCTCCGGCCTTCAAACACGGACTGAGAGTCTCACGATTGGCTCCCCTGGTTTCAGGCCTGAGCTTTGGACTGGCACTCCACCACCAGCTTCCCTGACAGCAGATCCTGGCACCTCTTAGCCTCCATAATTGCATGAACCAATTCCTCATAATAAATCTTTCCACACACCTCTACATATCCTGTTGGTTCTGTTTCTCTGGAGAACTCTAAGAGAGGGCACTAACCCTATTCTCAAGGCTCCACCCTCAGAACCTAATTACCTCCCAAAGTTCCCAGCTCCAAAAACCTCCACACTGGGGTTAGGGTGTCAACATACGAATTCTGGGGAAACAGAAATATTCAGCCCAGTGCACCAGGCATCAGATTCCACTGGGGCCCAGAGACAAGCCCAGAGGGCTTTCCAAATGTTGGAGTGCTACCTGCAGAAAGAGGCATGGATTTTCTCCAAAACCTGGAGTTCTGCACTGTGGTTCTTATTGCAGCTTATAAGATGTTCCATACAAAATGTGCTCAGTTGGAAACATCAATGTTCTTACTGTCATTGATATCTAAATGTAATCACCTAGGAGTTATTTAGAAGAATATTTTAGTGTTTCCAAGTGGACTATTTTGGTGGGAGGAGGCTAGGGTTAATTTCTAGTATAATTTTTTGTGGTTTCCATTGTTCGTCCTTTTTATGATTTATGGCTCTTTCCCACATGACCTGTCTTTTCCGGTTGCCCCTATTTGGTATTAAAATGTATCCGCATTTATCAGCACAGGATTTGCTTCTTCAGAGCCAGTGTGAGGGTTGGTCAAGTCTGAGTTCCTCTTACAGCAAGGAAGGTTTTTGCCCAATTGTATTGGCGAAACCAGGTTACAAGAGTCTAAAATCCATTGCAAGCGACTGATCCATTGCAAAAATACCAACTGTTGGCTACTCCAGAAGAAAAAAGCACTGGAATTGAGATTTCTTTTTGTATTTGCAGACTTTTATTGCTAAACCTGCCAGGCGTCCCTCAGGCTAGTTTTACAGCATTTGACGCAATGCACCACTTTTCTCTTGCAAGAACCCCTGTAAGGGCCAATACAAATTGAAAAAGCAAAGAAATTAATTTTTTTCGTGGAGCAAAAAGGGAAAGACAGCCCACTTTCTTGCAGAGCATTTTCTTCAGAAAATGTATAATTATAAATTCTTTCTCTGTCCCTTTGAGATGTATGGAAATCTTTAAAAAATGTAAATAAGCCCCTCGCCAGCCTTACAACCCAGGGATGTCTTTCTCAAGTACAGGAAAGCCATCTCTTTGAAATGCAATCAGCAGGGAAGACAGCACCCTGTCTCCCAGCTTCTGGGGAGGGCAGGAGCCTAACTGAGGTGGACACCTCACTCCTGGGGCAAAATGACCTCCAGTCGTAAAGGGATGAGCAGGTTATTCTTCGTTTGGATAAAGTCAGTTAACTAACACAGATGGTGGCCCCAATTACCAGATGAATTTAGAATGAACTCAGTGTGACCAATGGCCCCATCAAGTCCTCCTACATGAGGACTCGTATTGTTTACCTTGAGAACACGTGTGTGAGGGGCAGTATCTGCCTGGGTAGATAAGGGGTGAGCTGTCCTTCTGTCTTTGCGGTTCCCTAGCGGATTGCCTGTGGTGCACGTCACATTCTGGTTTAATGCTCATTCAGTAATAAAACTGTCTTTTTTGTCTTGTAGCCGTGTGGAGAGGGTTTCGATCACGGAGAAGACCCCAATATTGCGGATATGGTTCAACAGATATCTGGAAGGTTGGGCCATGCAGCCCTGCAGGTCCAATGAGGAGGACAGCCCACCTAGAGGATGAAGATTAAATCAGAGAACTCAAAGCACAGACCACTGAAATTCCTAAGACCCAGGAATCCCCGATGCGCCCTCTCCCTGGTCAGAGCAGGAGATCAGCCCCTTCGTCCCTCCTCCCTTAGACCGGACATCGGGGTCCTCAACCTCCCACCCCCAAACCCATGAGTCAGGAACTCAGGCCACCTCCAACCTCAGGACCAGTGAATCCAGAACCAGATCCCTTCATCCTTGAGACCATCAGTACTCACCTCCCCTGAGATTTATGGAACCACGGTAACAACGAATGGTGCCCTTGGGGCAGGTAACAATATCAGAGTTCTCTGAGCAGGATCCAAACAACTCAACACAGGCAGGACACTGCAGGTCTCCAGGGACAGGGGGAGCTGGGGAGCAGAGAGAAGGTTGGGGTGCACAGCTCTGCTCCTCCCGGCAGCCACCTTCTTTGTGACCCGGAGCCCCTTCTCTCTGGGCCCCATCTCCGTGTGTCCCTGGTCCCACCCAGCATGCTGGGATCCCACACCTGGACGGGGGATGGCGTCCAACAGGACACTGCTGCTGTCGGCCCTGTTGCACCCGCTGGAGGAGCAGAACCGGGCGTAGGAGGCGACGAGCATTCCGGGGGGCCCCGAGTGGACGGTGACAGTCGGGGATTCATGTGTCCTGATCTGGGTGCAGCCCTTGCTCCCCACTATGAGTGATCTGTGTCCTGAGGGGTGAGACAGTGAGAGCCGGGCTGAGGGAAGCTCCGAGGGAGGCAGGAGCTCAGGAGACAGAGGGTGGGTGCAGGTTCCCTGAGCACAAACAAGAGCACGGGTCACCTGGAATGTGGGGAAGACAGTGGGGGGGCCAGAGGCTGGGTCCTCCTCCAGCGCTGCCAGCTCTCAGTTCTTGTGCCAACGTCACCTTTGCAGCAGAGGCTGCCCTGAGTACCCATTATCACCTTGCAACCTTCCCCTCACTCTCTCTCTCTCCTTTCTCTGGGGGATTTCGCGCCACACCTCTTATCTCCACACCATATCTCGCTCTCTGTTTTGGCCATGTTTCTGTTTCCCCCGGCTCATAAAGCTGCACAAAGGCAGGTGCAGTGGGATCTAGGGTGCCTGGCACACAGCAGATGCTCCATAAACCTTGAATGAAGCCTATGGGTCCCCCTGTGCCAGCTCTACTCTCAGCCCTTTGCATGGACTATCGAGTCTATCCACACGACCACCCAGCAAGGTAGGTAGTATTATTGCTCCCAGTTTTCAGAAGGGGAAAACAAGGCACAGAAAGAAGAAGAGTTGGGTTTAGAGCTCCAGGTGTGAAGGGACCTGGGCAGGAAAGCAGGGACAATCCAGGGTGGGGAAGCCTGGGCCCCAGCGCAGGGGCCATACCTCTTGCACAGCCCACGCACCTACGTCTACCAACAGAAGCGTCTCCTGACACATCTCTCCAGCCTCACACGTCTGGGACCCTCTCGCGGTCCATTCGACGGGTGTCTGAGCCGAGTTTGTCTGCAACTTCACCATGACTCCCCTTTGACAGGTCAGGACAGCTTGGTTGGATGAAGCAGGGTCTGGGAAAGCCAGGGAAACAGCCGTGTCTGTCCCTCCAGGTCCCAGGCTTGGAGGTGATCACATTCCTGAGTCACACTCCAGGTGACCTGGCCACAGAGTCCTTCAATATCAGACTTTGAAGGGACCTTGGAAGTCTGAGCCCTACCTCCTTTCTTTGTCTTGTTTTTGCTCAAACACCTGCAGGGATCTCTCCCAAGCTCCTGGAGAAAGGCAACTCCTCCCTTGGGAGTGAGGGAGATAGAGGGCTCCTCCTCAGCGTGAGCCAATTTCCACTGTCCTCGCTGGGCCTCAAGGCCGTCATCCGGGTAATGAGGAGGGTAGCGTGACACCATGTATTTCTTTTCCCTGAGGAACCACATGTTGTAAACAAAAAGACGCAAAGGACTGCCGTGCACTGAGCATTTACTACGAGCCTGGCTGTCCTGATTGCTCCTTGGATTAGCCCCCTGACACGAGCCGAGGAGCTTATGTGTTTTGATCACTTTATTTCCCCACAGCAACCCCCAAAGTAGGTGGTGTTATCATCATCACCTCATTTCAAGATGGGAAACAGAGGCAGAGGAGTTGTTCAGTAGCTTGCTCGAGGGCCCACCACCAGTCAGGGGACTCAGAACTCAGGCGTTGTGGCCCCTTGGGGTGAGCGATGGGGAAGACAGGAATCAATGACCGTGCTTGGCTACCTCGGCTCCTGTGGCCCTCAGGAGTCTAGTGTGAAAACCCTGAGCCCAGATCTTCTCTCAAGGCCATCACAGTGAGTTGTCCCTTGAGGCAGAAACTCCCGGGCTGATGACGCAGCATCCATAAACATAGGTAATCTTCAGGACAGCCCCATGACGGAGGACCACTCATTTCCCTACATCACAGACGACAAAATCACAGCTTCTGCTGCTTTCCTCCCAGCCTTCTCTGCTCTCCCCATCCCCATCTGCCCCACCTTGCTCAATGGCAGCTCCTTCCAGCAGTTGCTCAAGACATTCCTGACAATCCCCTCCCTCTGACACCCTGTGTTGCGCCCATCAGGAAATCCTGTTGTCCTAAGCTGCAAGATACCCCCAGAACCTGACTAGGTCTTGCCACCTCAACAGCTTCCAAGATGCCCCTGACTCTCACCTGTTTGCTCCTACGTCTCCATGGGGGTCTCCAAAATACTTGCTAAACTCCCGCCTATCCCTCACTCTGTTCTCCACACAACAACCAGAAGGATCCCCATAAAGGTAAGTTGATTCCTGTCTCTCCTCTGCTCAGACCCTCCATAGGTGGTCTGAATCCCATCCGAGTCAGAATCGAATTCTAAGTCCTTAAATTGGCCCCAAAGGGTCTAGGTGATCTGGCCTCCCCCACCCCCCCTCTCGTCTCTCTGTCCTGCTCTGCTCTGCCTTGATCACATTGTTGGAGCCACACTGGCCTCTAGGCTCCTCCTTGAACACACAGCAGGCATATAGCCACCCCGGGGCCTTTGCATATAGTCTCTTGCTCCTGACTCTCTGGAATTGTCTCCTCCTTCCTGAATTGCTTGAAAAAGGCTCAAAGAGGTGTTGACCCTCAATAGCTGGTTCAGTGGCAGAGCCCAGACAGGGAGCCAACATCTCTCTGATTCAGACATCAAGCTCTTTAACTGCTGTGCTCTCCTGGCTGGGCCGCCCCACCCTTCTCCCTGGGAGCACCGCCCAGTTGCTTAGGGGAGGTCAAGGCCTTTCATGTTCCAACCCTTTTGTTCTTCCTCAGCTTGGGGTCCTGCTGTGGCCCATCTTGGGCAGCCTGTGCTCTTGCGCCAGCCCTCTGCCACCCCCATGCCTTCTCAGGGGCTGCTCTGGCTCCAGGAATGCCCTTCTCTCCTCCATATATTCCCTGACCTCTTGTCGTACCTAGCTTCTGATGCCTGGTCTTGCCGATGGTCAGGAAATACTTGCTAAACTGCTGAACTGAACAGAACCAGGGAAGCCAAACACATCCTCCAAGAGATCTGGCTCCAATGTCGAAAGCTAACCAAACATGGATTGTGATAGGAACATTCATTTGTGGCATAAAAGCTGTGTTTCATGTGGCATGTGTGTGGTGTGTGTAGTACACGTGTATGGTATGTGTGTGGGGGTGTAGTATGTGTGTGGTGTGTAGGGGTTGTCTGCAGTGTTTTATATGTGTATGGCATGTTTGTATGGTGAGTGTAGTGTGTGTGTATGGTACATGATGTTTGGTGTGTGTGTAGTGACACTGTGCGTGTGATGTATGTGGTATGTGTTTGTTGTGAGGGAGTGGCATGGTGTGTGTTCTATGTGTCTGTGTTTTGTTTGTATGTAACGGGTGAGGTGGGTGGTCTGTATAGTGTATAAGGTTTGTGGTGTGTGTGGTACATGTGAGGTGTAAGGAGATGTGTGTGTGGTAAGGGATGTGTGGTGTGTATGTGGCATGGTGTGTGTGTGTATTGTGTGTTGTGTGTGTGTAGCGTGCATTCTGTCTGAACTGTTTCTGAAACACCTTCTGGATTACGAATGTCAGCTGGTCCCAGCGATGAGGGCCGGACAACTAAACCAGCATTAATCAGAAGGAGAGACTCAGACTCTGCCCCTCCCTGCTCTGCCCCCTTCCGTGGCTCCCCTGCCCTCAGGAGAAAGGACAACTCCTCAGCCTGGCCTTGTGGGGACATCACCAGGCCCCCACCCACCTCTCTGGTCCCCCACCAATATCCATTCCCAAGATACTCCAGGTCGTTTCCTGGCTCCCTGGCTTTGCCCGAGCTCTTCCTTCTGCTTGGAATGGCTCTCCCTTCATCGCCCACACCCACCTCGTCTACCTGGAAAACTTGTAATCATCCGTGGCCCGGCTGTACCCCGTCCTCTTGATGAGCCATCTCAGGCAGAGCCAAGGACGCCTTCCTGAAACTGCAGCCTCAGCCCACCTCCAGGCCTTTGCACATGCTCTTCCCTCTGCCTGCTCCTGTCCTTTTCCTCTTCTTCAAATAAGTTAGAGCTCATCTTTAAAACACAGCTCACAGATCACCTCCTCTGTGCAGGCCTCCTTGATACCCACCCCCAGGAGATAAGAATTTTCCCTCCTCTGAGCTCCCCAGACCCCCTCCCACACAGCCCTGTGACCATCTGCACCATGATGTCTCCCCTCCTAGTCCTGAGCAGGGATGGGGTCTGAGTCCTCTGGGATCTGCATGGGAGACCTTGAATCCCGCATGAACTCACTTGCAAATAAATCCCGGGCACCCATCCTGAGCTAGCTCTTGTGCTGTCCACGTCTGGAACTCTCCGGTCAGTGACGTCCAGGTCCTGTCCTCAGGCCCCCAGTCCAGCCAGAGGCATCGAAGCACAAAGAGGAAAGTTTGCTGAACTCACTCAGCTCTTTTCTTAAAGTTGTAGGGTCAGGGTGCCATGGGCAGACAAGGAAACTGAGGCTCAGACCGGGACGGCACTTCTTCCCTCTCTGAAGTCCCTTGACCCCTCCCTGCATGCAGCGGCCATTCCCATGGAGACACTCCAGGCCACTTTCAGTCTGCCCCTTGAGTGGTTTCCGTGAGGATGTGGGGACCCCCCCAGTGTCCCCATTTGGCTCTTGCTTGCCCTGTCACACTGGGAGCACCCTCAATGTTCTCTGGTCTTCTTCCCTAGGCAGCAGGGCTGCTGGGGTGCTCCAGGACCATGGGTGGGGTGGGTGTGAGTGGGGTGAGGTGATCGAGGAGAAGTGGGAGACCCAGGGTTACCCTAGGCCAGGGGTGTGGAGAATGGAATTGGAAGCAGTGAGTCACTCCCAGCATGAAAACCAGTGGGCGCTCCTGCCCTCACTTCCGCACTTGATGGAGAAAGTGGAATGCACAGCAGCCACCCTCTCTGCCCCTCTGACCTTCCTCTCTGCTCTGGGGTTCCCCTCCCGCCTGGACAGGCCACCCTAACTTAGTCGGCCTAAACCTGATCATCAATTAAAACATCCAGCGGTGGGTTCCAGCCCTGAATATCTGTCGCCTGGACCATGTGCCCTCTCTCTCCCCTGCAACCGGACACCTCTTAGTGGCACCCCCATCGAAGTGCCTACCAGGAGAATCCCTCCCTTTGCACACCCTGAGTGAGGAGCAAACTCCTAAATTACTCGCGGGCACTGGCTTTGGTGGGATGTGTTCGGGTGTCCCACTTTCACAAGGGTCACAGTGCCCCAAGGCTGCAGTGCAGGGCACGGCCTCGTCTCCCGCACGAGGGACTCACCTTCATGGATGCAGTACTCACGCACAGTCAGGGCCCCAATTTTTTCAATGTTATTAAGCAGGTTGCAGCCTGCTTGAGACGTGCACCCCTGCACTCTCAGATTGGTGAAGATGCCCCCTGTGGAAAGGAGGAGAGAGGGAGAGAGGCAGATGTTCCCAGTGGGACCAGGCAACCTTCAGGGGAGGCGCAGCTCCATGAAGCCAGGCCCACCCTCCTCCAGGTCCCAGCCCTCAGCTACCCTCCCTCCCAGAGACCCAGATCCCGGCCCTCAGACCTCCCCTTCAGTGCCCCCAGGGACCCCGATGTCCTGCCTCACCTCCCCTGATCAGGAGGATCCCATTGTAGCAATGTGTGTCCCCAGCAGGGCAGGTCAGCTCTGTTGCAGATGCACAGCCTTCTGTGGACAAGCAGACTGGGCACCGCACGGACCCCGGGACTGGGAGGTGAGAGACAGAGAGAGAGGAAGAGAGAGTTCTGCCTTCAGATCAGGGGTATTGTCTCCACCCTGCTTTTGCTTGCCCCAGAAATCAATCTCCCCAGTCTCCCCCAAAACGTGCCCTCCTCGGGCTCCTGTGATGCAGGCCTGGGGTGCAGGGAATTAGGGACTGTCCCTCTGTGCTAACCTCACCCCCTCAGCCCTGTCGCTCCCCTCCTCCCCACACTCACTTTTCCCTCCTCCTCCTCCCCCTCCTCCCTCAGGCACCTGTTGGGGGCAATGAGTCCCAGAGAGGGAAGGTGTTGGGGACATTGTTGCATAAGTCCTTGTTGCGGCACACGTGGGTGTAGGAGACGATGGAGAGGCCGGGCCCTGCCCTGTGCTGGGTGACACGGGCCTCGTGATCTGCCTCCGGGGTGCAGCCCTTGCTGACCACCAGGTTCACATGGGGTCCTGGACCAAGAGAGGGAGGGAGGCCGTGGTGGGGTCAGGACTCCGGGTCTTAGAGAGACGGTCTATATCGTGGCCTGGGGTGGGCTGCCCTGATCATGAACCCTGCCCTGCTGCTGGCCCTCCTGGGCATCGCCCTCATGCTGCCCCGTGAGTGAGGACGCCAACCTGGGGTGGACTTCCCTGGAGGATGGGCTGAGATGGATTTGCTCTTCCCATTTCAGGAGTGCAGGCCCTGACCTGTCAGTCAGGGACAGGTGAGGCTGTGATGAATGTATCGGGTATGCCCCTCCACTGGACGGTGACGAATCAGCAAGTCTGTGAGGATGGCTGGGGTTGCCAAGACACACTGCTGCTCACTGAGAATGGTGAGAAAAGCCCCGTAGGCCCCAAGCCTGGCTCCCACCCTCTCCTGTGTAGAGACATCCCTCCCCGCACCCAGCCCTCCCTGCATTCCCTATGGGAACTCAGAGGACCCTCCCCTCCTACCAGGAGCTGTCCCCTCCCCAGCAGGGGCAAAGTCTTGGTGCCCAGTCACCATCTGTCCAGTCT